AACTTTTGGGACAACCTAATAGAACTACAAATTTCACTGAATTCTCTATAGTAACTCGAGAATAAATTGTCAATTAATTATCATTGATTAAGTAAATATTACTATTAATTAATTATCAAGTTAACTCACACGCACTGCAAGGAACCTGAGAGGCGTCATCGATGCCGCGGTAGTGTTGATGAACCATTTCAGTCATATTCATCGCCACATCCTGCCTCACAGAACCTACAGCGTCCATTGAGTACAATTCTGCATTTCCGAAACAGCCATTGCCAGTGTAAAATGAATCGGAATCGACAGCCGTATGCAGTCCGGCATCCACTGATGATGTTGGGTGGATATCCTCATACACATAGCTCACAGGAAAGTGTGGAGAATTTTGTGGTAGTATTCCATCTGAAGCGAAAGATAAATAAAGAGGGGAAGAACATTTATGAGACGTGAAATGTACAACAAAGAAATGAGATGTGAAATGTACAACAAAGAAATGAGATGTGAAATGTACAACAAAAGATTCATCAACCTTGTGTGGAGGTCTGGTCCATATCTGACGATGGAAGATACGAAACAAATGCACTCTGGGAGCTGTAAAACAGAAGGATCAATGTGAAACAATCACATAGTTAGTGAGCAATACTTAGAATCATTCATACATGGTAAATGCACGGAATCTACGATTCGGGGCAATCAGCGACATGGGAGAATCGGTGAACCAAGAAAATGCGCGAAAAAGTTGCGTTCATACTTTTCGTCAGCGTTTAAGCGTATTGATCTACCAATTTGAATGCCTCGGCCAAAACGCTCGACACGCTTTAAGCGCTGGCGTTTCTCAGATCGATACTTATACTTTCTAAAATTGCCTAGGAGAAGTACGAACGCAACCTGAATCGTACACATAATCTTCGGAATCTGCGATTCTGGCAACCAGATACAGGCCTATGCAAGATTAGTTTACTTGAATCGCCCTTCCTATTGACGCTTTCTTTCAAGTCGCCTGCTCTTCACAATCGCAATGTATGAACGTGCCTCAGACACTTTGTGAAACCCACCACTCAAACTTCCCGAAATCATACTTACATGTCAGCAAGACTTTGAATGAAAAGATAAGAAAAGTTTTTTACCTCTTTGCAAACTCGCCATTAGATGAATCTGACCAGTACATATGCGTTTTACCGTCGACTGTAGCACATTCGTTACCAAGACGCTCTGAAAACCACATGGTAATTAAGTACTTCAAACTAGCATGACCTCGCCCAGATAACATTTATAGCTTCTATGTGATCCGTAGAACCTGCGATTCTGCGAT